CTGAACACGTTTAGGGTGCCATTTTGACGATACAAATGTCGCCAAAAATCGCATATATTGCACTTCGGTTGCACCCCAAAAATGCATACTAAACGCATTCTGATCCTGTTATTGTCATTCCCTACACCCACGAGACAAGACAATGCAGCATGCTAGAATGGTTACAAGTACTTCTGAACACGTTTAGGGTGCCATTTTGACGATACAAATGTCGCCAAAAATCGCATATATTGCACTTCGGTTGCACCCCAAAAATGCATACTAAACGCATTCTGATCCTGTTATTTTCATTCCCTACACCCACGAGACAAGACAATGCAGCATGCTAGAATGGTTACAAGTACTTCTGAACACGTTTAGGGTGCCATTTTTAAGATACAAATGTCGCCAAAAATCGCATATATTGCAGTTCGGTTGCATCCCAAAAATGCATACTAAACGCATTCTGATCCTGTTATTGTCATTCCCTACACCCACGAGACAAGACAATGCAGCATGCTAGAATGGTTACAAGTACTTCTGAACACGTTTAGGTTGCCATTTTGACGATACAAATGTCGCCAAAAATCGCATATATTGCAGTTCGGTTGCACCCCAAAAATGCATACTAAACGCATTCTGATCCTGTTATTGTCATTCCCTACATCCACGAGACAAGACAATGCAGCATGCTAGAATGGTTACAAGTACTTCTGAACACGTTTAGGGTGCCAATTTGACGATACAAATGTCGCCAAAAATCGCATATATTGCAGTTCGGTTGCACCCCAAAAATGCATACTAAATGCATTCTGATCCTGTTATTGTCATTCCTTACACCCACGAGACAAGACTCTGCAGCATGCTAGAATGGTTACAAGTACTTCTGAACACGTTTAGGGTGCCATTTTGACGATACAAATGTCGCCAAAAATCGCATATATTGCACTTCGGTTGCACCCCAAAAATGCATACTAAACGCATTCTGATCCTGTTATTGTCATTCCCTACACCCACGAGACAAGACAATGCAGCATGCTAGAATGGTTACAAGTACTTCTGAACACGTTTAGGGTGCCAATTTGACGATACAAATGTCGCCAAAAATCGCATATATTGCACTTCGGTTGCACCCCAAAAATGCATACTAAACGCATTCTGATTCTGTTATTGTCTTTCCCTACACCCACGAGACAAGACAATGCAGCATGCTAGAATTGTTACAAGTACTTCTGAACACGTTTAGGGTGCCATTTTGACGATACAAATGTCGCCAAAAATCGCATATATTGCACTTCGGTTGCACCCCAAAAATGCATACTAAACGCATTCTGATCCTGTTATTGTCATTCCCTACACCCACAAGACAAGACAATGCAGCATGCTAGAATGGTTACAAGTACTTCTGAACACGTTTAGGGTGCCATTTTGACGATACAAATGTCGCCAAAAATCGCATATATTGCACTTCGGTTGCACCCCAAAAATGCATACTAAACGCATTCTGATCCTGTTATTGTCATTCCCTACACCCACGAGACAAGACAATGCAGCATGCTAGAATGGTTACAAGTATTTCTGAACACGTTTAGGGTGCCATTTTGACGATACAAATGTCGCCAAAAATCGCATATATTGCACCTCGGTTGCACCCCAAAAATGCATACTAAACGCATTCTGATCCTGTTATTGTCATTCCCTACACCCACGAGACAAGACAATGCAGCATGCTAGAATGGTTACAAGTACTTCTGAACACGTTTAGGGTGCCATTTTGACGATACAAATGTCGCCAAAAATCGCATATATTGCACTTCGGTTGCACCCCAAAAATGCATACTAAACGCATTCTGATCCTGTTATTGTCATTCCCTACCGTCCCTCGCCGTAACTCTAGCTAATTCAAGGAGATGTGAGAATTATTAATTCATTCATAGTTGTTTAACATTAGACCAACGTTACCTCTCCATCCCTCTAATTTCGATGGAAAGGATGCTATTCTTTTCTATAGATCTATGAATTGGTTGTCGTGAGTGATACGATTTATGATTATGATTTAAATTAATTAGGAGTAGAACATAAAAAAAAAAGGGTTGAGGCTGGGATTGAACTCGCGACCTTCTACTTGGAAAGCGGAAACGGTAACCACTATCGTTTTGTTATTAGTCTGAAGCACTGTTGTGGAATAATGAATGAATACGCCGTTTGTAAAGCATGCAATTAAAACATGGACGCATAGTGGTATAAGAGCTATTATGCTGACTGTATTCACCTTTATTCAGCAATATTGTTAAGCAATGCAATGGAATCTAGTAATGGAGCTAGAAAATAATTATTAGACGTATAATAAAGCATGTTATTAAATCAATTGAAACAGTCGGATTAAATCGTCAATGTATGTGCAAATTACACTTATTCAGTATGTTATTAGATCAAACTTCTGGTGTTGAATCAGGAAGACAGTCATCGTTTGTATAGATTTTAATAAGTATATTAATCAAATCAGAGCAATCAGCGGAATAAAGGCGCATCATCGATCTCAATGAGGTTTTCTGAGCACATAATTTGACAACCCGTTTTATTCAGCATTGTACACTGTTATAAAGCATTTATTCAATCTATATGCTTATTTGTGACTCTGAATTGTTTGTTGGGTCGGTCAACGAGAACTCCCAGAACTTGGAGAGTCTTCTTCAGCGGTATGGACTGGTCGTCGATTTTGATCGGTGGTCCGCTAATTCTTTGTCGAGAAGGGCAGACATGGCACCTGATGCTTTTAGAGGCTGATAATTCACCACAGTGTACTCAACAGATGGCGGTAATGTTTTAGCGACGATGTTTTACAGTGAGAAATATTCAATGTGTTATGTCTGTTTGTCTGTGCATATATGTTCTTCGGTAGTTGACGGAAGACTCTACCGTTCATCGCCACGAGGGTAACGTCGATAACCGATCCTTGTGGGACACCCGTTTCCTCGGGGAAAAGCCGGGATTTGGTGTTGCCGACTGCGACTCGGAATGAGCGGTTGGACAAGAAGTTCTGGATGAAGTGAACGATGGGTCCGTTAAAAGCCTAGTCGATTACCCAACAAACAATTTTAGCTGCAGATTAGCTTATGCTGTCAAAATTTGCCTTATGCAGCTAATTTTTGCCTGTATAAGCTGAGTTGCAGCTAAAATTGTTAGTTGGGTAGTTGCTTAAGGACGAGGGGCGTCCACGTTCTGTTGAAGGCCTTCGATATGTCCAGCGATACTATCTTGGTGTACAGATAAATCGTAATGTATTTTCTCCCACAAGACTCAAATATGTCCTTGCACTCCGGTGCACACCTTACCGACAGTATCGCTTTTCTTTTATTCTAACTAAAACCGCAAAATAGATCACGCACGATCGAGGTTATGTCTTGAAATTATGGATTTTGGCTGTGCTGGAACTACGATTTTCATAATATGTTTCGTGTGAACGGTCGTTTTGACCTCTGGAAATTGTTTCATACGAGCATATATTCACCCATATTCTTGTTTTGGTTTAAATCGCATTTGACCATACAAAAAACTTTTTCTTGTTTGAAATATACGGTTCGAACAATAGAAATAAAATATTGTTTAATGAGACATATTCCTAATTCGACAGCCATTACTCGTATTCATCGGACGTGTGCTCTTTCTGCTCTGCTTAACTTGGTGAAATATTATAGCGAAAATGAATGTAGCTCGTACAAACACACTTCTATATAGAGCTAGAATTAGGGCGTAACAGCCTTTGTAAACAATGACTTCTCTTGTTGATTTCTCGAAATTCAAGGCACGCCTACACAAACCAACATATCCATCGGGTAGGAGAAGTCTTCCTCTACTCGATGGTGATGTCGATTTGCCAGGGTCAGCCATGACTTCCGAGAAATCATCGAGAGAAGTCATTGTTTACAAAAGCTGTTACGCCCTAATTCTAGCTCTATCTAGACTTGTTGTTGACTTCAGTGTCCTTCCAGTTCGCTCCAATGCGGGAAAAGTGCAAAAATTCTTCGAGAACAATATTAAGCTTCAATCACTCAATATTCGGACGTTAGATGCATTCAGTTTCATAACGTCCGAAATTGTGTTTTTATTGAGATGATAGACAATGAAGTTGCCTTGCGCTATGAAAAGGCGCACAACTATAAACACGCGTTTCTCTGTGCGAAGAGTGAGTTCGAAATCTCGGTATATGTGGATTGTGAAGCAGTGACCGTTCGAGTGCATGACCTTCCTCTGGCATGGCCACAAGTCACTGTTATGAACCACATGGCAAAGTACGGGACAGTGATTTCCAGGCGACATGAGAAATGGAAGCACTACTTCCCAGGATTCCTGAGCGATGTTCGAGTTTTGCGAATGCGACTCAAAAGCGCCGAACGAAACAACGTTGGTAACGTACGACAGGCAACCAAAAACGTGCCGCCATTGTGGCCGAGCAGCACATCCCAAACAGAAATGTTTGGATGTATCCACATCGAACAATAGCACCGCTCCAGCAGCACCATCAACCGAGGGGGTTTTCAGTCTCGCTGATATCGAAAAAAAAACCAGCCAACAACATCGACCCAATCATCTCCTGCTTTCACCGGGTTCTCAACAGAAGAACAACAGCGAAACACCGACAATCAAACCGAGGATCATCACACTTCAAACGTTGAAAGCAACGACGCAAACTCTAGCACCAGCTCATCAAACGCAACAAAGGTTTTCATTGGAAATACCAACGAACGTCGGCTGTCGAAGCACAAGGAGAACGAAAAAAAGAAAAATCGTGCTGATCAGTGCACCCAGAAGGCTGGTCAGCAAACAGATCGTTTAGATGAAAATAATGCAACTTATCAAATAAGGGATAATACGTTTTATTTGAAAAATAAAAGCGGGAAGGGATCTAATTGTAAATAATGGTCACGGCCCAAGCAATACCTAATAGGCAAGGGGGCCTTATATAAAAAAGATAGTGAGGTGACTCACTGTCACTAGTTTCCAACAGTAAAAAGAAATAATTCGATTCATGCAAATGTATATTTTTATTTCCGAATAAATAGAAGGAAATTCATATTATATATTATTATAGTTCATAAATATTTGTTGTTTTCTGAAACAAGTAAGCCGCCATATGGATAGCCACATCTAAAATGTTGCCCATCAATCTAAATGCTTTTTCTGTTCTGTGACATTCAAACTATGTGTAGTGATTATAACATTGTTTTTTTTTCTCTAAATATCATGGTCGCTTCTAACTGGTTCGATATTTTTATGTCGATCGTTCTCATTGCAGATTTCTTTCCTTCATCAAATGTCGATATTCAAAGCCAATTTCCTTCGATTTAGAAATTGATCAGAACATTATCCCGGATCGCAAAGCGGAAGAAATTTATATCCTTAAACGTTTGTGCTTCTTATCAACTAGAAATTTAACGTTCATTGTATTTTTTTTTTCAACATCAAAAGCATTTATAAATTGATTAGCGGAGGTATGTGAAAACGTGCTCTCATAAATAGTTTATTTTCTAAACCGCAGTGATTCGTAGGATAAAATAAAATCAATAGAATAAGCCAACTGGATTTGTTTTCTTTTGCGCTTAATACGAATACGAACATACTTTCTTTATTAGCTGAAAAGTTAATATGTTTTCGTTAGAAATAGGATTAGTTCTGGAACAAAGTTCGCGTAAATTCCACATAGTCCAGGGCGCCGGTGATGGGGTGGCCCGTCTTCGTGTCGTTGAACGGTTTCATCCTCTGGACGCAGTAGTCCGCCATGTCCTTGGTGAGGTTCTGTGGATGGGGAAATTTTGTCTTAGTATGGAGATTCCTTGTGATGGATCGCTAGAACTTACTGAGTAGAGTTCATCCTTGGTGACGTATGGACGGTCGGAGGCGGTAATGGCGCGGAAGGCATTCTCGATCTCCTCGTAGCTCTGGACGTTCTCCGTTTCCTTGGAGATCATGAAGGCAATGTACTCCTGCAGGGAAACGTGTCCATCGCGGTTCGGATCGACCACGTTCACAATCTCCTCGAACTCCGGGTCGGGTTGTCCCTCTTCCACCATCGGTAGATCGTAACCCAGGGCGCGGAGGCAGGACTTGAATTCTTGGTGGTTCAGTTTTCCACTCTTGTCCTTGTCGAAGTGCTTGAACATCATCGAGAATTCCTTGAGTGAATCTTCCGAGACTCCAGATTGATTGCGGGCTTGGATCTGTTGCTTTAGATTGTGCTGCATACGCATGGCAAGCTGGTCGAGCTGATCCCATTGCTGGGCGAGGCCTACGGTTGAATGTTCCGTGTAACGATTGTCCAGGATGAGGTGTTCCTCCAGCGTAGCTCCTAGCTCCTCAATCTTCTTCAGGTCGCCACGACGAGCGCGAATTTCATTAGCCTTGTGGCAGAGCGCTTCGAATTGCTCTTCCAACGAGCCGGAACCATCCATGAGGGAAGTTCTACAAAAGAGATGATGATTGTTTAGCTATCGTACGGGACCAATGCAGAACATTCAAAACGGTGCATAGAAGTTAGCGGGCGACCAGTAATCAGTAAGTGCATTGTAACCGAAATACCACTTTTCCTTCCAGAAAAATAAGATTTGCCGAAAAGCTAGTATTACGATGACATGCTTGAAATAGTGTTATATCGCAAATAAGCAGCCGTTATGCATCGAGTTTTAAATTTAAGATATATGCAACGCATTTAGCTTTCTTATGTTAGAGACGGCTGCAGCAAACACCTCATTATTCAAAATCACAACCCAACGTTACCCATTCTTATCCCAGCCTAGAATGCTGTATCTATTGCACCGTGAATTGTTTATGAAAGAACATGTTACCGAAAAACAAAACAAATACAAAAAAATATGATCAAAAAATGTTCCACAAATTCTCAGAACAAGTAGATTGTCCATAAACTCACCTGGTCTCGGTCAGCCACTGGTGGAACAGATTGGCATGCTTGGCAAACTCCTTACGGAGCTTGTCATTCTCTTCCTGGCGGTGGACTTCCTTGGCCAGCTCAGCGTCACGCTCTTCGATAATCTTCTGCAGATTGCGCCAGGTGTCCTCGAGCGCTTCCATCGTGAACCACGTGTACGGATTGGGACCCACATTGAAGTTCTTGATCTTGCGATCCAAATCAGCCAACGCTTGGAAGTCATACTGAGCCGACGACAGCGATGCCTGGAACTGGGCATGGGCCGCTCGTAGAGCCGTAATTTCCTCGATCGAATTGCACCGCACCGGATCGGTGAGATCCTCTTCGGCGTTTTCGAACCACGAGTTGAAAGCGGAAGCTTTCTTGGCAAAGGTCAGATAGAGGTCTTCGATCTGACGGAATTGCTCCTGCATTTCCAGCAGGCGCTGCTTGCGAGCTTCCGAATCGGCACGCAGCTTCTGCCAGCGGGTCAACACATCCTCGTGGCGCTTGAGAATGGCAGCCGATTGAGCGTGGTTTGCGTTGATCAGTTGATCCTTGAGGGCAGTGATGTTGTGGATTCCTTCCTGTTCGAATGCGGAGAGACCTGTGGTCGGGAGAAATGATTAACGTAAGGTTCTAACTGACAGTTTGTTCAAATATTACTTACCAGCATCGAATGTCTCCTGCTTGGTCAGCAGTGTCTGAACAGTGGATAAATCACGTCCAAACTCCTCCGACTTGACGTGATTCTCCTTATCGGCAATCCAGCTCTCAACCACATCGGCCTTCCACATAAACTGCAGATAGGCAAAGTTGTCCAACAGGGCGTTCTTGCGACGGGTGGCCAGCGCTTGCAAGTTCTCCAACTTCTTGTCCAGTTGAGTGCAGCGCTGGGAAATACTCTCGGCATGGTGATTGTTATTGGTCACCAAAGTCTGACCATTGTCATGAATGTCCGAGCAACGATCACGGTGTGCGGCAAAGTCAGTCTCGAAAGCATCGTGCTTCTTCAACAGACCCTGAACAGCGGCCATTGAATCTCCATAGTCCTCAACCGACAGCAGCTGCTGCTTTTCGGTGATCCAAGCTTCTTCTTCTTCAACCTTTGCCAAGAATTGTTGATAGATGAGCGATTCGTCCAACTTTTGACCACGGGTAGCAGCCAAGCTCTTCAATTCAGACCATGCCTGGTTCAGCGCCTTCAGACGTTGCTCAATCTCCGGTACACCCAGATTCGAAACATCCATCAGCTTCTCGCCAGCTTCTTGGACGGCCTGGATTGCTGGCTCATGCGAACCCAACTCAGCTTCCAGACGCTTGTGCTTCTTCTTCAAGTTCTGCACTCCGGTCAAATCGCGACCATAGTCATCGGAACCGACCAGTAGTTTTTTCTCCTTAATCCAGGATTCCTCATCGGCAATGTCGCGGAAAAATTGATGCAACGTGTTAGCTTCGTTCAAGCGAGCCTGGCGATGGGCAGCCAAGTTACAGATACGTTCATAACGCTCGTTGATCGATTGGCGCTTTTCTTGAATTCCGGCGCTATCGAACTGGCCGCTCTCAACCAATGAATCGGCCTGAGCATTCATGTCCCTGATACGATCTTCGTGGGCATGGATGTCAGCTTCCACAAGCTGGTGCTTCTTCATCAAGTTCTGCACCGAGGCCAAATCCTTTCCTGCGTCTTCCGATGTCAACAGACTCTCCACTTCACCCAACCAGAAGTCCAAATCCTTCACCGCAGCAATGTACGTACGCTGCTTATTGGCTTCCTTCAACTTCAAAGACTTCTCCGTAGTCTTCTGGGTCAGGTATTCCCATTGATCGGCGATCTGAGTCAAGCGCTTCTGGACGGCATCCTCCGATCCGCTGCACTGATTCTTATCGATCAAATTGCTTCCCATTGCCAACACACTCTGGATACGATCGGCATTGGCTGCCAGCTCAGCTTCGAAGGCTTGATGTTTCTGGTGCTTAGATTGGATGTTGGCCGGATCCTTGTAGCTTTCCTCAGTGGCAAGTTGCAGTTTTTCGGCAATCCAGTTCTCAATTTCATCGGCATCACGCGAGAACTGCTGCAGCGTCTGCTCATCACCCAAACGAGAGCGCTTCTCGATCAAATGATCCTTCAGGTGACGCCAGCGGTCCAACACTTCCGATCGCTTGTCATCGATCAACCTTCCAGCATAGTGCTCCTGAGCAATCAACTGGTCAGCCAACACTTGCAGAGCAGCAATCTTCTCCTCGTGGCCATTGATGGCCTTATCAAAGTCCTCGTGTTTCTTGATCAAGGCCTCCACATTGTCACCCTTGGAGTCGACCTCTTCGGCATTCAGGAACGCTTCCCGAGCGCTCATCCAATTCTCAGCCTGCTCACAATCACGCAGGTACAGCTGTAAGTCAAGATTCTGGTCCAGCTGCAGCCGGCGAGCAGTCCAGGCACGTTCCAGCTCCTCGCGCGCGTTGCCCAAGTTTTCGATCTTTTCCTGAATTTCCGGTGAGGCATAATGATTAGCCTGCAGCAGTTCTTCTCCAAACTGACCGAACGCAGCGAACGTTCCGGCACGGGCATCCACTTCGGTACGGTGTTCCTAGATTTTCGTTTCGTTCGGATTGTTTACAAATGTTGGACAAGGGAGAAGAGACGGTACGTCACACAAAAAAAGCAATATATTAGTGAAACAGTTGCGAAACTGACTTACTACGGGTTGGACACGACTTGCATGTGGGATGAAAACGGAACACATACCGGATGTTTGTGAGAAGCTAGGTAGTAAATGTGTTTGTTTTTATGCTTCAAATGGGACAAAAACCACACGATAAGAAGAAAATAACGAAGCGTGTAAGCGACAAACCGAAATGATATATTAGAGAGAAGCGATTAAACGATTAGCTGAGGATCGATGCTGAAGGAGCGCAATCCTCCGCGCAATGGGTGCGAACTGAATCTGTTACATTTGTTATAACACTGCCCCATTTAATCCTATATTGAATGCTATTGCACGATGAGTTATTGAAAACATAAAACGCACAAAGATGTAATGGTTGTGTAAGTGTGTAAATACCAAATGTGGGTAAAAGCTTTCTGTAAGTGAACGAGTAAAGGTTTTGCTTTCGGTTGTTAAATATACAAATGTTCGACATGTAACAAGAAGTTAAAGAAAATTTGATCTAGCCAATTATTGTTCTAACGGAAAAAAAAATCGAATCATATATAGGAACTAATTTTGCAACTTAGAAAAACTGCAATTTTTGGCGGCCAATTAGAAACAATGACAACAGTCAAACGAGGGATTAGAAAACAACGGATCGAAACACAAGCATTCGCTCTGTTCGTCTTGGGTTAATAAACAACTAAGTACTAAAGGTGGGTATTAGGAAAATTTTGAGCTTAATCTTTACTCGAACGTATACCTGCGGGATACCGTAACGAAAATCAATTTCAGCACGATGGTTCTACGGAAAATTGAAATTTAGAATTTAGAATGATGTGATTTGCTGTATCGGATTCGAAAACAATGCTTATCGTTAGAAATCAAACAATGTAACGGGGAAACAAAAATTATCTACTGGATGGAACTTTTGCTAGAAACAATAAAAACGGTTGTAAATGTGTGTGTGTGAATCTTGAACGAACGTAAACTTTGTAGAACACACACACCCGAATGGGAACACTGACAAAGAAAGTTGTCTAAAGACATCACAAATGGAACATTTATCAAAATTGAAAAAAGTCTTCTATAGAATTGAAACTCACGTTTGGACTTGAAAAAAAAACAATGACCCAACATGTAGACTCACCTGATGTCTCTCGATCAACGCCTCCGCTCCGGTGACATCATTAGCCAACTCCTCCGAGGAGACCAAACCCATCATCGAGCTGATCCAAGCCATCAAATCGCGGTAGTCGCTCAAGAAACGTTGCAGATCGTACGAATCTAGCAGTTTCTCCTTGCGTTGCTGAGTCTTGGCGACGACCTGTTGCCACTCTTCGTTGATCTCCTTCTGCTTGGCGTAGGTCTGTTCGGCCGTATCCGGATGCGATTGCATTAACCGGTTTGCAGTTTCATCCAGCTGACGAATCTTATCGCGCAGAGCTGCCAGATCACGCTCCAAACCTTCATGCTTGCGTTGCAGCGTCTGAACACCACGCAGATCCTTGCCAAAATCGTCGTTGGTCAACGCAGTATCCTTCTCACCGATCCAGTCCTTGGTTTCATCGACGTCGCGATGGAAACGCTGAACTTCATGAGCCGATCCGAGCTGGCTGGCACGCTCCTGAGTGATAGTCTGCAGCGTTGCCCATTCTTCGTTCAAGGTCTGGATTTGGGTCTTGATCTTCAGAGCAGCCTCGGTTTGTCCGAGCGAAGTCAGCTGAACGGCAATCTCATTCAACTTGGCCAGACGGACCTCGTTAGCCTTTAGATCATCATTGAAGTCATCAAACTTCTTCTGCATAACTTCAACTTCTTCCAGATCTTCACCAACATCCTTAACCTGAGCATGGCTTTCCTTGTCCCTGATCCAAGCGGACAAATCAGCAGCTTCACGCACTAACACGTATGCCTTAACGGTTTCGTTCAACTTATTCTGACGCTCATGGGCCATAGCCAATAGGTTATCGTATTGGCTGTTGATTTGAGACTGGCGCTTACCAATCGAATGGCCATCGACCAGATTCTGCTGACTGGCGCTTAGACCAGGATCAATCTTCTTGATGTATGCAGCTGGCACGAATCCCTGACGATCGTTGACCTCAACCTTCCACCAGTCCTTGTTGTTGGAGTTCAACAGAGTCAGAACGTCCCCTTTCTTCATAGAAACCTCGCGAGGAGATTTCTCGGTGTAGTCATACAACGCCATGACACATTCCTTGCCAGTGATGTCAACCACAGGAGTCTCCTGCTGGCGGCAGTTTTTGGCCTGTTCTTGCAAAGCTTGAATAGTGTTTCCGAAGGCTTCCAAATCGGAAACCAACGCCTCATGCTTCTTCAACAAAGCTTCGGACGAATCCTCGTCCTTTCCGTAGTCCGGGTTCGACACGATCGGTTCCTTCTCGCGCATCCACGACTCAGCTTCGTTCGCATCGGCAAAATATTGATGAGCCTGCAACGAATCCTCCAAATCCTGCTTTCGCTGGTTGGCCTTTTCCTTCAGCGAGTTCCACTGGTCCTTCACGGCATCCAAGCGCAACTTGATATCCTCGGTAGCGAATGACTGTTCGGTCAACATCTGTTCACCATTGGCAATGACACCAGCGACGCGATTCTCATGGTTGTTAATCTCAGCCAGCACAGCTTGGTGCTTTTTGATCAAATTCTGGACACCGATCAGATCACGGCCACGATTGGTGGAGGCGGCGACCGGTTCCTTTTCGCGGATCCAGGCAGCTTCATCTTCCAGATCACGGAACAACTGCTGCACCTGTAGCGAGTCCAACAAACGCTGCTTACGATCGGTCATTGGACTAGCCAAGGCTCCATATCGCTTGGACAGGCAAGATTCCTTGTTCCGGATGTTATCCGCATCGAAATGACCACCCTCGACGAACTTGTTCGCCGCGACCTTGATGCCTTCGATACGATCCTGATGGGCCATAACGTCAGCTTCCAGCAGGGCGTGCTTCTTTTGCAGATTCTGTACGCTAGTCAGATCCTTGCCGTAATCCTCGGACATCAGTTGGCCTTCGACTTCGCTTAGCCACAGCTCGATATCTTCAACGGTACGATTGAACTGCTGTTGCTGGGATGCTTCCTGCAGCTTGCAGCCCTTCTTGTCTGATGCTTGAACCAGCGATTCCCACAGAGTGACAATCTCCTGCATGCGGGAGTTAATCTGATCAGCAGCGTAGTGGCCCTTTTCGATCAGGTTCTGCCCATTGGTGGTAATGTCTTCGATGCGACTCTTGTTAGCGGTCAGTTCATGCTCAAAGTTGGTATGCTTCTGAACTTTGCCGTTCAGATTGGTTGGATCCAGGTAGCTATCGTCGGTGGCAAACTTGAGTTTTTCACTGATCCATCCCTTGGTTTCATCGCAGTCACGTTCAAACTGCTGCAGGGCGCTAGAATCCTCCAGCAATTGACGGCGAACGGACGACTTCTCCAGCAGAGCCGAACGGCGTGCCAATAACATCGAGCGACGTTGAGCGACGTCATCAGCTGCGTAATGCTGGCCATCGATCAGCTTAGTAGCGAAGACATCCAAGGCCTTGATTTTCTCCTCCTGAGCAGCCAGACTCTTTTCGAAGTCTTCGTGCTTCTTGATCAGAGCTTCAACCGAGTCCAAAGAGTCTCCCAGATCTTCGTTGGCCAGGAAAGCCTCCTGCTTGGCCATCCAGGTATCGGCCTGCTCGGTGTCGCGATAGAACAACTGCAGATCCATGCACTGCTCGTACAGAATACGACGATCTTCCCAAAGAGCAAGCAGAGAGCTCTTGTCACTCTCCAAAGCGGCCAGCTTTTCCTGCACTTCCGCTGCGGCGTAGTGTTCGCGTTCCAACAGCAAGCGTCCGGCCTCGGTGGTTACCTTGAAGCTATCACCACGAGCATCAATCTCTCCCTTATGTTCCTGATGACGCTCGAGCAGAGCTTCAGCTCCGGCGACGTCCTTGGCCAGCTCATCGGCCGAGATGATGGCCTTCATGCCGTTGATCCACGACACCAAATCACGGAAGTCAGCAAGGAAGCGATGCAAGAAGTAAGATTCATCCAGCTTCTGCTTGCGTTCCTTAGCCTTGGCAGTCAGCGATTGCCAGTAGGCAGCGATTTCCGCTTGTTTCTCACGGATCTGATCGCTATGATCCGCATGGATGCTGCACAAACGACCAGCCTCGGCTCCCAGCGTAGCCACCTTGTCTTCCAAGGCAGCCAGGTCACGTTCGACGCCTTCGTGCTTGCGTTGCAGTGCCTGAACGCTGGCCAAATCACGTCCGTAATCATCCGAGGACAGAACAACATCCTTCTCGGCAATCCAAGCAACAGTTTCATCAGCATCGCGGTTGAAGCGTTGGATTTCGTGAGCACCGAAGAGTTTCTCCTGGCGCAAAATAGCCAACTGCTTCAGGCGCTGCCATGCTTCGTTCAGTTCTTCCTTCCTACGGGTGATTGTGTCCCGTTCCGGATGTCCATTGGAGAGCAGCTTATCAGCCAGCTCGTTGACTTCGGTGACACGATATTCCTGCGAAGCCATATCCTTCTGGAACTCGTCAAACTTACGCTGCAGCACTTCGACATGCTCCAGATCCTGGCCGAACTCGTCGGCCGTTACGAAGGCTTCCTTGTCCTTGATCCAGAACATGACCTCCTCACAGTGGCGCAAGAATTGCACCAACACCAAAGCCTGCTGCAGCTTCATTCCCTTCTCGGCCAGACGGGACAGCAACAGCTCCCACAGACGGTGCAGTTCATCCAACCGACGCTGAATGGTGTCGGATGCAAAGTGCTGCTGGTTGATCATCTCCTGACCGGTGTTGTCCAGCACCACGATGGCATTGCTGTGGGCCGAAACTTCAGCCTCGAAAGCCTGATGTTTCTGGATTTTGGCCTGCAGATTGGTCGGATCGCGATAGCTCTCCTCCGAGGCGGCCTGCAGCTTCTCGTGGATCCAGCTCTCCAGCTCGTCCGAATCGCGCTTGAAGTACTGGAAGCGACGGGAGTCCTCCAGCTTCTCGCGCTTGTGGCGCGTTTCCACCTTGAACTCATTGTACCGGTTGAGCACCTGCTCACGGCGCTCCTGGATGTCCTCGGCACTCTCGAGGATTTTTACCTCCTTGGGGGTAAATTGCTCCATGATTTGTTTTCGACAGTCGACTTGCGTTTGCTCTAACAGTTAGCCTGAAATGATGAGGATGGCAGTTGTGAGCAAGAATTCTACAAAATGATGACTTCACCGCCCGAATATTAGCACCTCGATGGACGGTGGCGGTTATCAGCAAACTCACCTCTTTTTATTTTCGTTTAAATGTGTTGAATTATCAGCGAGTTGCCTCGTCCACTTTCCGTGCGCGTTTGTATGCTTCCTGGAATAAAACGCAGTCAAACGTAAGAAAATCACATGGTAGATAAAGTAGGTACACAAACACTACGTCAACCGCATACGGGTGCTGGTTTGCATTTTTGCTGTAATACCACTGCCATGCACTGTTACCTAACTCGAGAAAAGTCACACCCTCCTTGAGACATGGCGAAAAATCGATAATATCGCAGAGAGGCATCCATTTCATTTTGCTTTGCAGTTTCGGAGCGTAGTAAGTACAGGGAAAGTATTAAATCTATTTCAAACTTTATTGACAAATACGGTATATATCGTTCAATAAATTAATTCTCATCAACTCTTGTCAGTTTTCCTAAAAAATAGTCTTCTTTTGCATTTTTTATCGGTCTGTTACAACTCTATTAGGATTCAACATCTAGTTTCACTTTTCTTACCGTCTGCACTTGTTTGCAGGTATCAGCTTTCGACTGTCTACGACTCTTTCTACATAAATAAATATAACTTACTTATTTCAGTATCTTCCGATTTAATTTTATCGTCTAAGGTTTCCTTTCTCTCTGTTCGCTAAAGCTTACACAATACTCTAAACGCGTACGAGATTCCTTTCACAACTACCGAGTCTCACTTTGTTTTTATCTATTTTGGATAATAAAGACGACATACATTACGTAGAAGTCAGATTGAATTACAGCTTAAAATGTTACGATATAGGGTTCTTCCAAGCTGCTCTTAGCTTCGCTAATTCAACTTGCCTGTTCAGTGAGAGTTTAGGAACATTCTTGGTTGGAAATTGTGGGTCCCGGGCTGCAAGCGGTACTCAATGTAGAATAAGGTGGGGCAAGATGGGTCACTTGATTTACTCTTTATTTCGATTGTCAATATCGACAGGCTCAACGTAGCCCCAATGCTGGTTTCAAAAAGCAAACCATCATTGGGGTTGCATTAAACCTCTTAATTTAGACAAACAAACAAATTAATAAAGTAGCTAGGCTGACCCATTTTGCCCCACCTTACCCTACAGATTCGCAAAATTCATAACCTGTGCAAAATGGTCTGGAGACTGTTTTAAATTAACTTTAACGAGAACTTCAAAAACAAAATAGCCACCGTCAGAGTTCTTAAAGATTGTTGAAGTGAGGCACTCAGAACTGACAGCAATAGGAGAGAAACTGAAATAATGTGAAAAATGTTCTCTGTCGAGTGCAAAACCAGGTAGAATTATAGTCGCTGTATTCATAGTCTGGCGGATAGAATTTCGATCTATCAAAAAGCAGAACCATTTCAATATATTTTTGGCCAACAATTGAAAAGGTACTATAAACTTTTACAGGGTGTCCATTCAAATCCCGTTTTTTTTTTTTCTTTTTCCCGGTTATTTAAAAAAAAATCCCAACCAATCCCAATCACCTCTGCTTTATACAAAAAAGACGTTCAAAATTAACCGTTTATAGATAATCATATATTTTTGCCAGCAGAATTGCTCTACAATACGTGATGATCTAGATCTCCAAAATTTCATGGAATCATGAATTCGTATACAATCAAAGAGTCTCGCAAAAATGAGCCTAAATGTTGTTTTGTTAAGTCGGAAAAATCCTGTATTAAAGGTACATGAACAGGAGAAACGTAGTATTATTTTCTTTTAAACTTCCTGGAGTTTAGATCTCAAACGACATTTTGTGGGATACAAAGATGTGTTACCAACATATTTATCATTCTCATTTTCATTATTGTCTTGAAGATATTTTACAGGTTAATCGAAATCTTGTCCGATTTTCTCTTTTGAGCATTTTGAGTCTCCGTTCATAACATAATTTAAAATTATCAATTATGTTTAAAAATAATATTGTTCGATTATCAAAATCATCCTGGATATCTGTTCTTGAAGTTCTGCAGACTCAACAGGGCATACGATTATTCGACTTAATGCTTAATTTACCAGGAATATTATCAGGAAGCCCCATGATATCATTGATTTGGATTATTTGGTTTTCCAAAATGCCTGGAGTTCAGATCGTTATTCTTTTTTAATAAAGTCACTTTAACACTCTTAGAACATTTCTATAGATGAACTAGCCTAAGGCTAAAAATCTATTTAATAAAGAATTAAAAAAAAAAAAAAATCTTAGAACATTTGCGACTTAAATTTGAACTCATGACAATGATGATTTCCCCAAGAAATGTTTGAGCTGGATGAATTATCTCTAAGATAATTAAGTACTTTGTCTTTGGCGTGAGAGATATGGAATCAGATCTTTATGTTTTACAGACTAACCGAGGTTTTCTACGATGTCCTAACTAATCTGGATAGCACAAAGAGCAGAAATTATTTCTAATTTATCTCTGGACGAATCATCTTAGTTCGTTGATTGTGTCCGGTGTCAAACATTTGCATGCCAAGCATGATGGAGCATGTAAGAAGTTTGAGATCGGACATTAATTTATTGGCATGAATCTGCTTCTTATATTCAAGTAGCTTCGTAACAAAATATGTCTCGCTCAGGCTTTATACTAGAACTTCTTCACTCGGAAAATTGCAACAAAAGACTTTAAACATTTTTCTTCAAATGACACCACCAGAAATTCTAAAAAATAACTCTGTAAGCTATGGTAGTAGTAACAACGGCAAAATCACCGTTTGCTCCGTGCGCGAACAGATTGCGAGTGAAAGAAAAGAATAGAGTTTTTGTAATTTTTGAGATTTTTGATACTTTAATTTTTTTGATTGATTCCAAGTTTGAATGATTCTTCAAGATCAAATTATGGCCTACAAGACTATGATAAAACCAAACTTAATACTTATATGATCTTTCCCGGTGCGATTTGGGTTTTCCCGGTTTTTCCCGGCTGCTCCAAATCTCCGGTTTTTTCCCGGTTGGATGGACACCCTGCTTTTATAAACAAAACGTTGATTATTCTTTCCTCTAAAATCGAAGCTAAATTACCAGCATCATCGGATAGGGAAAATTTTCCACAACCTAAAGATGGCGTTAGTTTGTGTAGGTGAGCCTTTAGTCACGAGAAAACGATTTCCGAAATTTTGTTCGCAATAGCTCTTTTCTGTTGTTGGTCGTGATTTGCTCGATTGATTCCGCTATTTGACAGCTCAATTGGTTCCCGAGATTCTATCCGCCAGACTATGAATATAGCGACTATAGGTTGAATGCGAACGGCAAAGGTTTAGAATCAGCTAGTGAGTCGTTTTTAGTAAAGAGCCTGAATTTATAAAGAGGAGACATCATATTCATTTGACAGGTCTTCTGCTCGATTGGAATGACTTTTCCTATGACTTTGACAGACAATCGATTGTTCCAATTTTGACATGTCGTCTCTTTATAAATTCAGGCTCTTTAGTTTTTAGCTCAGTGGCAGAATCGGATGGAATATTTTTAGCAGTTTTAGTTTTTTAGAGCGTGTTCCTCTGACAATAATCTGTTCTAGACTAACATTTGAAAAGGGCCTAACTCCAAAATGACCATATCGAGAAAATCGCTTCTGAATTGTGATGACCTTAACAATTAATCCTATTTCACGACTTTCCATTTTCTGGATGATTTTATAAGCTTGACATATCTATACAGAGCTGGAAAAAGGGCCTATCTGCTTTGATCGATTCTCTTCATCGATTTTCTCTTTTGATAAATACGGCTATGCAAACAGGTTTCGTGCTATTTTTGCCACATAGCATGAGGCATGAGGTTTTTATCTATCGTCCAAATCGTCAAATACAACAGGGAATGTGTTTGCAGCTGAGTTATTAACGGAAGAGAAAGTCGATGAAGAGAATCGATCAAAGCAAATAGACCCTTTTTCCAGCTCTGTATAGATATAGTTAAAAGTGTAATCTATCATCATGCTCATGGATGTTTTCTTTGTCGTGAAATTGAGAATAAAACATCATACGCCCTGATAATTTCTTACATGTTGTTACCCGCCGGATCTTCCATCCTTTGAACCTATACACCCACTCTCGGGATTTTTTGTTTGTTGTTCCGCCTTGGTTCTTCGTTCGCAAATTTTGTGAGAGTGGAATTACGCCCGGAGATTTTTTTTTGTTTGGTCTTATTTTTGTTCGTTGTTTACACGTGAAATATCAATATCAATAACTACAGAATCAGTACGTTTGGCATATTAAAACAATAGAAATCGTATTTCTGGTGCAAAACAAAAACCAATATGTGGTGGTAAACTATAACGAACAAAGTTTGGTGCACATGTAAACAAATGAGGTACGCGACGCCTCTGGAATTCATAACTTTTTTTTGCCAGGGTCAAGCAACCAATCTACGACATACATATGCGGTTGATTTTAATCTTTACGTATAGCTGTTTGAGCATGTTTTTAACTCCATAAGCTATTAGGCATTTCGCTGGTCTAAATTTGTTAATAAATCACCGTACTTTTGCAGAACACGGCATTAGCACTGACTTAGATTTTATAGAGAATTTATGTACATGAAAAATTATTCGACTTATCTGGGCATAGAGTATGATTGTAATTGCCACACAATCTACTGATGCAAAAATTGAACAGGCTAAGAAAGCTCTCAATTAACAATTGTGGAAGTCTATTTGAAATGGGCCTATGTCCAAAACGTAAACAAACCAGAAAATGAATTTTAAATTTTTCCACCACTATTCAATTCATATTTAAGAAAATTGAAGTATTTTAGGCATTTATATTGTTCACAATAACAATAGTAACTGTATCTCAGTCAGGGTTCTGCATTTTCGAAACAAAGAAAAGAAAATGAACTCTCCGCAGAATCGCTTCATTTCGAGCAATATCATTTTCATGTAAGTCATCGAGTTTCTTGTTATCGAGTCACGATGAACATTCTTCCTGTTAAACATAACTTGACTATCGCTGGTTTCGTTCGTCAAGTGCATCAGTTCACTTCATTTGAAGCTAAGACTTGTTTCAATTGACGCAATGAATGACTCGAAAATTGCTTCCTTCGTTTTTTTTTTCACTTTCACTTCTATTCGGGGTTCATTCGATGGCATCCAGATTATATACAGTAATAAAATATTATTTTAAATTAAACGAAAATTAAATTAACGAAGTCATTCTGGAGTCCAAAATGGCGGCCATCGGGTTTCAGATTAAGTTTTAAATACCCTAACATATGGGTAAAATCGATACTCGACGCCATTTTGGAATCCAAGATAGTGACTATTGGTTTTCTAAAGTGTCAAATACCGTAAGATATGGGTATTATCGGAACGGGGACAACGTTTAGATGCTAAAAATCGATATCCGCCGCTATGTTGGAATCCAAGATGGCGGCCATTGGGTTTCAAAAAAGTATCAAATACCCTACAATATGAGTATTTTTGGAACGGGGACAACGCGTAGATGTCGAAAATCGATATCAGGTACCATTTTGGGATCCAATATGGTGCCCAACTGGTTTTAGAAAATGTGTCAAATACCCTACAATATGGGTATTTTCGGAACGGGGACGACACGTAAATTTAGAAAATCGATATCCAACGCCATTTGTACGCTATTTGACACTTCTTCTGAAATCGGAAGTCACCATCTTTAATTTCAAGATGGCATCGGTGATCGATTTCTGGCCTCTAGATGTCACCTCGGCATTTGACAGTATTTTATTATTTTTCTGATCCAAAGCCACCAGTCAAACATCAGTTTCAGACCTCTAAACGTTACTGGGATTTAGAAAATACCCACATTGATGGGTATTTGACAGTATTTTCCACTTTTTCTGAAATCAGAAGTCGCCATATTGGATTTCAAGATGGCGTCTGACAACGATTTTCACAATATACGTGTCATTCCGTTCTGAAAATACTCAAATTTTAGGGTATTTGAAACTTTACCTCAAATCGGAGGCTGCCGTCTTAAATTTAAAAATGGCGTCGGATATCGACTTGAGGCTTCTAGACGTTAACATATGCATGGATATTTGATAGAATTTCCATCTTTTTTTTTAAATCCGGAAGCCGCCATCATGGATTTAAAACTGCGGTCGGATATCCTGGATTTCTCTAGGCGTCATACCGATTCCAAAAATATCCATATTGATGGGTATTTGACAATATTTACCACATTTTCTAGAACCGGAAGCCACCATCTTGGATTCCAAAAAACGTATTTTAGGGTATTTGACACTTTTTCTTAAATCGAAAGCCACTGTCTTGGATTTCAAAATGGCGTCGGACATCGATTTCCGGCTTTTAGACGTTACCATGATTCTTTAAAAAAAAACATATTTATAGGTATTTGATAGAATTTCGCACTTTTCCTGATATCGGAAGCCGCCATCCTGGATTCCAAAATGGCGTCGGTTATCGATTTCTGGCCTGTATACGTCACCCTGATTCCAAAAGTACCCATATTGATGGGCAAACAAACCACCCGACAATAATAAATTTGACGCCCACATGCGCAGATCTTTGATGGACCGAGTGGAAAATCAAGTCAGAAAAACTGAGCGAATTGTTATCGAACAGCTTTGCATCAATGCGAAAGCATGTTCATTTGACAATGAAAGATGAAATGAACACGAGTCAAGCCAAAACAAACAGCATGAACACTGATCCAAAGTGGTTCTGTTGAGGTTGAAGGGGATCTGCTCGAAGAGAAGACCGAATGACTTTCAATTGAAAGTGATGGTTGACAACTTCGTTGTCGCTTGACGATTTTCGATTGAAAGTGACTTTGCTGGGCCCTGATCTCAGTATACAACCTCCAAAATATGCAAAAAGCTTTCAAAAATATATGAAAATCGATAACAATTTAATTTCATAAATTAATAAGCCTTTTTGGATAGGCCCTTTTTGTTAAGCCGTTGTGCTTGTCATCACGAATGGTACGCCCTTTGATAAGCCTTTTCGCAACGTCGAATAAATTCAAAACAAATCATCGGCCCTGCCTCAAACAGTAGGGCCTAGCTTTGGTTTGAAAATGTTCAATCATCGGCTCTTCTACGTCACTAGGCTTATCAATGAAATGAAATAAATGAATGGTTGGCCGTTTTAGCGTTCGGACCTAATAATGAATCGAAAAATTTCGTTGATCGGCCGTTTCGAAAATCGAGTTATTTTTAATGATTTTTCTCGATTATGCGGAATTTTCCCACACGATTAGTGGCTATCAAGCGGTGCTAAAGAATAGTATCAAAACCCGATTTGTTTACGTTTTAAACATAGGCCCATTTCAAATGTTACTCTAGAAGTGCATCTAGAACACTAAGTTGATGACCGGCGAAAAAGTCCCAATAGGGACGTAATAAAGCCAAAGAAGAAGTAGATGTCCCTCCACTGGGACTAGTGAATTCGTAGAAATCCGATCCATTAGAACTCTAAATGCAGCTCACAAAGACGACTATTCCCACCAATAAAGCAACAAACACTCACTGATTACATGGCACTGTACCGTCATATGTCATCCATCCATCTTTCAAGACTGACTCTGGTTCGCTGTCGCAAAAGCAAACGAAACTCTCACTTTGCGTATTATGGTTCAAAGTTCAGCACTAACAAGGGGTGATATTGATTTATTCTGTTATTAGGTCGAACATTTTAAAATTAGCATTGAAAACATGACTTTCACTACAATGTTTGAACCAAATAAGATATACCCAATGTTAAGCCTAACGTGAATATTCCCCCCAAACAGCCCGGGTTTGAAATTTAGGAAACGAAGAATGCCAATTCTATAAATTATACATATTTACAAAATTTAACTTTTCCACTACTTATGTACACAACGTACGGCGACTGCCTCTGCTGAACGATAGGACTACTTTCAAAACTGCTGCACCAATATAAAATAATATAAAAGCCCTCGCGCTCGCTTCATTCGATACAAAACATACAAACAAACAGCAAACATAAAGGAGTTGCAACATCATTAAAATCACAATTATTATCTAAAACTTTCGACCGCGCACCCATCCCGGCACTGAACGTTTAGGTCGAATTCTGCCGCTCCGGGCAGCGGGTGTGGGCGATTCGTCCCTTCCGCGGAACGCCACTACCGTCGTCGTCTTCGTCGAAGCTGCTTCCTCCGGACGATCGATTGTTCAGGTCATCGTCCGCTGCGCCGCCGTGGGCCGTGTGCAGCACAATACCCGGATGGCTTTCGGATTGGGCGTGGATTTCGTGAATTTCCCCGGGAGTTAGACTGGCCAGAGCCGCCAGCAGGTCGTGATTGACGAGGGGTTCGTTTTCTTCGGCCGGTTCCCACCCGGCCGGTGGCGATGCCGGTGGGGAAATCAGGAACTGTTTGGTTAGTGCCGGTGGTTTGAGATTCGTGTTCGACACCGGCGTCACCGGTTGAGCTAGATAACAGGTGATGATGGACTTCCCGAAGGGATACTGATGCAGCTGAATGCGAGCGTTTGCCGCGGCGATGGCGGTATCGTAGTTCACCCGTAGCCGACGGAAGCTTTTCAACCATTGAAAGGTGGTATTCTCCGAGAAGATCTTAAACAGATCCTCCATGTGAGCCTTCAACTCGTCGCTGCTGAACACCTCCGAGTGGATGTTGGTGACGATAATTGACGTCGGCAGATCTTCCAGCAGATCGTCGTCCACCGGGTTGGATTCGTTATCCGAGTCGTAGGCACTGGGTAGAGCCGGGTGCTCGTTCGAGAGGCCATCGGTCGGATTTATGAAAAGGTTTTCATCTAGTTCGCCATCACCACCGGTAGCAGCAGCTGGTTGAGCCATTTTGGAAAATTTACGCTGCCTTAGCAGTTGGACGCCGAGCTACAGTGGCTTTCTTTAGTTCTTTACGGTGCTTTCGATTCGGAGTGGCCAGTGCAATAAGAGGAAGAGAGAAAGAGAGAGAGAGAAAGGAGCCAGTCAGATTTGCAGCTAATCTCTTGCAGAGCACTTCGGTCTCTATTTGCGAGTGTGTTTTGTTTAACCAAGAGGAATGGGGGGGGGGGGTTTTGGGTGTACGTGACTTGAGGTATGTGGTATTATAGTGGTATATACTAGTGGATTAAACTACAGTGAAACAGAAGATAAATCCAACAACCATATCAAATACCTAAACACGACAAGCGCGTCTAATGTTACTATCTCCACGCAAGTTAAATTCAAATTCAACAACACGTTAGCACAAATACGAATGTGTGTGTTTGGGTTTCATGTGAGAGCAGTAGTTGCAGGGAAGGAACAATGTGAAGGCGATGATGATTGTTTGATTCGATATTCGATTCACACCACGGTTGTCTCTTTTCGACTAAACTGCAAATTACATCTAGACGGGTAGATTCTTTAGGGCCAGAAAACAACACATCGAATTAACACCGGGAGCCGATGATACCGACGCGCGTCTTATCTTTCCTTGTTCACAACACAACTAAACCAACTGGGTGTGCAGTTCCCGTTCCCGTGGCGGTTTGAAAATCGATACTATTACGACGCTACCTAACACACTCCTATTAGAGCAGTGCTACTCAAAATGGTAAAATGAAACTTTTCCACTTATTTCCGGGCGTTTGCATTCCTCTAGAGCTTCGCTCTCCTGTGCCGCAGACGGAATGTTAGCACATAAGGCTATTTTTCTGCATGAAGAAATCGAAGTCATATCGTGTTTAGTAGGAATGCTCTTTTTCCCTCGACCGCCGTCAGTAGGCATTATTATGATAATCTTCATCGCCATCACATGATGTTCCCAGTTTCGATGGGTTTGTGCCAGTGAAAGTTTCCTGGATTATGTTCCGATGCTTGTTAGCAGATTTCCTTCTCCTTCCTCTCTCTCTGCAATCTGACACTAGGACTAACGTGAACGTTTGAAAGCAATCCCAAATTGTCTCACTATTCTAAATTAAGCCAATGATCATAAACATTAACAACGTAGACAATCGCATTCATCTGATTCATACAACCGGGCAAAACTCTCGGTGTCTGTAATTCAAATGATGGCAACTGCACTCGGGGAGAGATGACATAATCGATTTGAATGAACAAACGCACTTGCTTTGCTAGCATGTAGTCTTTCTGACTGCGTCTGTCAACAAGCGATGAACTTGATCTCGACCCGGTGTGACACTGCAAGCAACTCGCAGCACAATCCAAACGTCCCGCACTTGTGACTCATTCTTGCTATGAGCTTCGTCTGACGAGATTTTGATTGTAAACGGTTGCCAAAAGACACCGTTGATTTTCAATTAAAGTTCAACCAAGCCTTTCCGGAGACTAAATAAAATCCTATCCAAAGTGGGCAAGATCAATTGAAGGTCACTCGGATTCTCGGAGGGTGCTGGGGTTATGCTTCCAAAATATTTTCGATTACGCAAGGCCTTCCACCTAATCGTATCTTTCGCTATAGTTAATACAGGTTAATACCCGCCCTGGTTGGGCCCGAGTGCTAAATATACCCTTCCTTTCTGTTTCTGTGCTATCGCTCTTTTTACCTTATCGATTTTGCCATGTTCGATTGACTCAACTGGAATGCGACGAACGGAAAATGAATGTTACTACCTACCTACCTACCTACATACCCATAATCGCGCTATAAAGTAAAGTGTGTTACGAGAACCGCGGACGGGTTGGAAATACAAATTGAAACTGATTACCATTCTGCCGACGTCCGTCACAGTCTTGTTTCTGTCGGCGTGTCCGCTGCAGACTTCTCAATCAACTTCATGAACTCTGCAACCAATACCGACAATGTACTAATAGTAGTACACTGAATGAAACATATACGAGTGACTATAGGTTGGACTGCGGAACGGAACTTGGAGTAGCGAAAACGTAAACTGAAAGTTCGTCATTGCTTGAAGTCCATCCCGAGCAGCGATGCCAGACATTTTTTATACGACAAAAAATGGGAACCCGACTTGTAACTAGAATAATATTTCAACTTCTTAGATACTGGTAATTTCAAAAAAGAAGTGCCAAAAATTAACTTACATCCAACATTATCGGTATTGATGCAGTGAAGTTCAAACTTTTTTCTATGCTAATGAAAGTGTCTGTATAATTGGTATCGGTAATTCCAAGCTAGCCATTATGTTCCTGTGGAATATAAAAAAAAAACCCGAGTGGAATATGTTTTGTATTGTTATGAGTCACGTTTTATGACCCCCAAAATTGGATTTGAACTGATCAGAGCTTGAATTGTTCATAACATGTTTACTTTGGATGCTCGGGTTGAGAGATAGAAATCGTGTGCGAGCATGCACGTGACTTGCTCAATTGAGTCCTTTAATTTAAATATCGGTTATTATAATTTGCTGTTATTTAAAGTAGGTCCAGTGCATCAGAATTAATCAAATATTGGATTTCGGTTCCATTACAATTACGGAAATTACGAATATCCATTCACAGGGTGGCAAGTGAATTTCGATTTTGAAATTCCTGGTTTTCCTGGTCAATGATTTAAAAATTCCCTGGTTTTAAAAACCATGTAGGGGAAATGGCTCTAATGTTGGCCTATGGATCTAAGATTGGGCCCATCGCTAAAAGTCTGCTATTTATCAATTTTATCTAGATGAACGCGTCATTATGACGGTACTAATGGATATTTTTGTCGCTATTGAAAATTTAGTCGCTTGCAAATTAGGGACATGTAGGCCGAAACTACCTACATTTCCCCTATTTAATAAAAACAATTTTTAGTAAAAAAAATAAAGTGAATCCTTGTACCATCTTTCTTCGCGCAATGCGGAATTTCACAAACCAAAATAGGTATTAACGTTCTTATGAATGCCCGTGAAATCTTTATCTGATTGTTTTCTGTAAAGAAGCTAGTAGGGAGCCGCGCTACTTCGTCGTATCATGGCGCCTATTTCCGTTCTATGTGCTAAAACTATAATAGCAAAGCGTTTTCAATCATGTTTTTGCAAAAACATCTTTGCTTACCAGATTAATTAGGATTGACACTGAAACATTTGCGATAACCCGTAAAATGAGGGATTTTAGGAGTGTATGACGAAGAAAAGCTGAGATACGACGGACTAGCGCGGAGCCCTATCTAATGTCTGAAATTTAGAGATCTATAAGCCCGTAAATCTTGAGAATTCTGTTTTTGAAACTGCGATTTTTTAACTTTATTATTGAGATTTTTAGCCAACGGGCTTGTTTATCTCAAGGTGAAATTGTGAAGTGTGATATGAATAAGGACTCTTTAAACAAACCTTTGCTTCTAACAATTTTACGGATTTCCAGTTTTTTAATTTTCCGCAAATTGTCAACGATTAAGGATCTTATTTAGCGGAATTTTGATTACAACATGATTTCAAAATTATATGATTAAAAGATTTCATAAACAACGCTGGTTTAATAACTCTTATTATTAAAAAGACTGACTGCTGAAGTTCATAGAAACTCCCTAAAGTTCGTAGAACTTCCCTGAAGCGTTAAGATCTTTCCTGAAGGGTTCATTGAAGTTTGTATTGCCTGAATTTTATGGGACTTCCCCGAAGTTCGAAGGACTTTTTTAAGATCTTAGGACTTCCCTGAAGTTCGGAACATCGTAGAAGTACCACGAAGTTCGTAGAAATTCTCAGAAGTTCGTAAGATTTCCTTCAAGTTCCAAGAACTTTCTCGAAGATCTGAGGACTTCCCTGAAGTTTGAAGGACTTAACTGAATATTTTTAGGACCCTAAATTTAGAAGAGTTTTCCTGAAGTGCATAAGGCTTTAAATATCGAAGGGTTTTCCAAAAGTGTGAGTCTTTCCTTAATTTCTTGGAAATTCCCTGAAGTTTGGAGAGCTCCCATGAATTTCGTAGAACTACCTGTAGTTCAATCGACTTCTCGGAAGTTTTAGGAGCTTTTTTGAGCTTGGAGAACTATGTTAAGTTCAGAGGACTTCCCAAGAGTATTGAAGACTTCTCTGAAGCTCGGAAAAAATCGATAAGTGTCATAGGATTATCCTTAAGTTTTAAGCAATGCATAAATGTCGTAGAAGTTACATTAAATCTGTAGAAAGTTCTATAAAATTCGTAGCTATTCCCCAAAGATTAAAGGACTTCCCTGAAGTTCGTAAGACTTCTCTGAAATTTGTAGAACTTCTCTGAAACTTGTAAGACTTTCCCGAATTTTATAGAACTTGCATGAAGTTCGAAGGCCTTATCTGAAGTTTTTAGAAATAGAACTTTTTTATTGAACATGTTGAACAGGTACTTCAAAGTAGTTACGCGTCGGCACTGCTTAAGTCTGCTATCAATTAAGCACAAATCATTGATTTGAGAAAAAATTAATCAAAAATAAATACAAAATATATTTACTAAATTCTCAGGGTAAATTTTGTTCATCAATGTTTAGTTGTGTGAAAGATTTAGCTTGAAAAAAATGGTTAGTTTTGACCAGATTATAAAAAGAAACTTGGACATACATAAAATTTAAAACCTATTTAAATTATACAAACAAGATTATTTTCCTGGTGGACTTATGAAATTCCTGATTTTTTCCCGGTTTTTCCTGGTGAAAAGAAATTTCCCTACTTTTTCCCGGTTTTCCTGGTTCACTTGCCACCCTGCATTTACCTCAATACCCTTAAGGATAAGAGATATTGATTTGTATTCATCACCTCCCTTAGCTCAGTCGGTAAAGACACAGCTACAAATCAAGACCATACTGGAGGTGGGTGGCTGGGTTCGATTCCCGGTCCGGTCTAGGAATTTTTCGGGTTGGAAAATTTCTCGACTTCCCTTGGCATAGAAGTATGATTGGACTTGCCACACAATTATACCTATGCAAAAATGGTACAGGCATCGAAAGCTCTCAATTAATAACTGTGGAAGTGCATCTAGAACACTAAGTTGAGAGCACGCAATAAGCTA